GAGTTCTAGTTCCGCCTTAGGCATGAAAGCTGTTTGGGTGGACTCTGAGCCAATCACCAGGAGACGGTGAGTTCTAGTCCCACCTTAGGCATGAAATTTGGCCGGGTGACTTTGGACCGATCGTTCTCTCTTTCAGCCCAGCCCACCTCACAGGGTGGTTGTTGTGGGGGAACGCAGGAGGAGGAAGACATGTTGTATACGTTCACTGCCTTGTAAGTTATTTGTAAAAATAATAAAAGACGGGATACAAATAACTCTGCAAGCCGACTTGCTGGGAACAGAAAAAGCGACAACGAATCGGATGCAGCTGCTTTGACTGACTTAAGGAGGCTTTTGGACCAGGTGGTGGACTTACTCCGGAGTCTGTGGGTAAATCCGTATCCCACGTGCGTGCTTTGAAGTCTCCTCCTCGGTTCCATCGGAACGAACTCATGCACCCGCCTTGGGAAAGCTCTGTCGGTTAGCAAAAAAACAACACTGTGAAGGGCCAACGTGGGGGAAATAATTTTTTTCCCAGCTCTTTTTCGTTTGTTTCGCTGTCAGTTCTACTACAGGTAGTCCTCGGGTTACGACAGCAATTGGGAAAGGGATTTATGTATTCATCGTATATCCGTAGGACTGGGAGTTCTAGTTCCGCCTTAGGCCCGAAAGCTGGCTGGGTGACTTTGGGCCAATCACCAGGAGACTGTGAATTCTAGTCCCGCCTTAAGCATCAAAGCCATCTGGGTGATTTTGGGCCAATCACCAGGAGACTGTGAATTCTAGTCCCGCCTTAAGCATCAAAGCCATTTGGGTGACTTTGGGCCAATCACCAGGAGACTGTGAATTCTAGTCCCACCTTAGCCACAAAAGCCAGCTGGGTGACTTTGAGACAATCACCAGGAGACAGGGAGTTCTAGTTCCATCTTAAGCATCAAAGCCATTTGGGTGACTTTGGGCCAATCCCCAGGAGATGGTGAGTTCTAGTCTCACTTTAGGAAGGAAAGCCAATTAATTGACTCTGGGCCAATCCCCAGGCGATGGTGAGTTCTAGTCTTGCCTTAGACAGAAAAAGAGCTCATTAGGTTTCTTTGGGCCTATCCCCAGGAGACAGCGAGTTCTAGTCCTGCCTTAGGCATGAAAGCTGGCTGGGTGACTTTGGTCCTATCGCTCTCTCTCTCTCAGCCCAACCCGCCTCACAGAGTTGTCGCTGTGAGGAGAACAGGATAACTGCTGGGGACTATTCGGTTACGTTCGCTGACTTGAACGATTCAGAGACCAACAATTAAAGGCAGGAGAGAAATAAAACAGCAATTTTCACCTTTGATCCTCTCGACTAAATATTCCTGGTTTGGGGTCAGGTCCAAGTATTGCACGATGGTGTTCAGGGTAGGGATAAGGGGTCCTTTCACCAAAGCTGCTTGCTTCAGGCTGCTCAGGCTGGCCTCTGCAAAAAATAAAAAATAAACACACGCGCACACATGTTGTGACTCCGAGACTTGAACCTGATCAGTCAGCAGATGTGGGTTCGAGCGAGGAAGAAGATCTGGCACTGAGATTCGAGCCTGCATTATTAAGTGACTTGGAGGGGAGTCAGGTACAGGGAGAGGAGTTGGATTCGAGAGATGAACCTGATTTATTGGAGGTTTCAGAGTCCATTCCCTCCCCTGAAGCTACTTCCCTAGTTACACCTCAGGTGTTAACTGTTAATCAGGAAAGTGTGTCGGAGGCTTCAAGCGGTGACGAAACTGCCGGACGCTGGCTGGATGCCAGAACTAGGAGAAGATTGAGACGTCAATCTCAATTAGAAAAGAGCCGTCCAGCAAAGGATTAATTAATGAGACTGACACGCCCTCTCTCAGAGGATACAAGGGAGCGTACGAGTTCGTAATCTTTGCTGGAAAACAAAGTGAATTTTGCCTTGGAAAGTTTTGCGTCTGACTACAGCGTTGTGATTTACGAACTATACAGAATTGCCGGACAGATTCTAGGAGGATCGCCAAAGGACTGTGAAAACAGAGCAATTGAATCTTCTGTCTCTGGTTTTGTTTGCGTAAAGTATTTGAACTCTGTAACTCTGTATTTGAACACACACACACACACACACACAGAGAGAGAAACTATTACCTTTGTCATCATCAAGAAAGTCCCCCAGTTTCGTGTCTCGGTAACAGCTGAGGACTTTCTTTTGCTCAAGCGACAACCTCACAAATGGGAAGTAAGTAGCTGCGACCGAGAGTTCTTGATTCTGCAGCGCAAAACGCTCGAGAGGCCTAAAAGTCTGTGGAAATTCCCACTCCACCAGGTTACGGTTGTCTCAAAGGTGCCTTCCCCCCCCCCCCCCCCAAGAGGCAATTGGATTTTCTGGGTTTTGTTTTGTTTTTTTCCCTTTTGAAGATGTTTCGCTTCTCCTCCAAGAAGCTTCTTTGGCTCTGACTGGATGGTGGGGAACGGAAGGATTGACCCTCCTTGCAGACAAAACTGGTCATTTGCTTCCATTTAGAGGGTCGTTGAGGCCGCTTGGAGGTTCCTCTGTGTCCTCAGGGTCACACCTGAGTGGTGCAAATTTAGGCTGCAATTTTTCTTCTCTGGAAATCCATTCCTCCTCCCAGGCCATTCCAAGGGTGTCCATCCCAAATTGCAGGCCGCTGGTCATTTCCGAAAAAATTGCAGAATAGAGGAACCCTTGGCCCCACTCGCGTGACTCTGAGGACACAGGTAAGCCTCCAAGCGGCCTCAACGGCTCGCTAAAAGGATGCAAATGACCAGCGGTCTCAAAAGGAATATAAACCCTTCCATTCTCCACCATCCAGTCAGAAGCTGAAGAAGCTTCTTGGAGGAGAAGGGAAACGTCTTCAAAAGAAAAACCAGAAAGTCCAGTTGCCTCTTGGGAAAAAAAAAAAAGGGTACCAATAGGACAAGATTCAGCAGTCCATCTGCATTTAAAAGACAGCTAGCTGGCTGGGGAATTCTGGGAGTTGAAGCCCATCCATCTTCCATCTTCTATCAATGGAACTGTATAAAACATTCTATCATCGTATGTTTTCCCCCCACTACACAATTGACAACTTCAGATGCTTCCAAGCTAGGAAAAGCCCTTTTCTCTAGAACGCTGCTACATTCTAAGCTCGTTTGTAAAAATATCATGTTTCCCCCCCCAAAATAAGACCCTGTCTTATATTTTTTGCCACCAAAAAAAGGCACCAGGTCTTATTTTGGGGGAAGGTCATCCACTGACTAATCTCACTTGTGTGCGTCGCTCCCGGCCTCCTTTTCGCTGTCCGAGGCCTTCAGGAATTTCTTCTTCTGCGGCCGGCAAGGCTTTCCTGAAGGCCCCTGCAGCCTTCAGGATCGATCCAGAGCTTTGTTCTCAGCTCCAGAGGCCTTCAGGAAAGCCTTTCCGGCCGCGTAAGAAATGGGCCGGCCAGGCAGGTGTCGGGGTGTGTGAGGCCTGGCTACACCTGTCCAAAGGTAAGTAGTAGGGCATCTCCACCCCCCCTATCCCCACCTTAGCTTAATTTTTACCTGTGCACTCTGGAGTGGGAGGGATCTTAATTAGGGCTTATTTTGGGGGTAGGGCTTATAATTGGGTGCATGTGTAAAAAAAAAATCTTGCTAGGACTTACTTTCAGGGTGGGTTGTGTTTTCGAGGAAACAGGGTAAATTACAATTTTAATCCCTATATTTTAGTTGGAGCACATGATTACGGACCAAAGGTTTTTTGTGTGTGTTTTTTTCCCCGCAGAGTCACCGTACCTCCAATCTGTAGCTCTGGACACCCCATTCTCCGCAGCTGGGTGCTTACGGAGTCCATCTCTTGAACCAGCGGCACCAAAATCGTCTCGTTGACCCACTGTGGGATCCAAAAAGGATTTGAGAGGTGGGAGGATGGGGTGGAGTGGGGAGAAAGGACAACAGAAGTTAGAAGGGCGACACGTTCTGGATGTTCGCTATGTCTCATGAAGGGACCGGTTGTAAGGGGCGGACCAGGTGCACTTCGGGTCCAATGGCCCCCATTTAGCCTGAGTCGCCCACTTCCCTGAGCTCCAACCTCAGAAGGGGATTTCCAGGGCTGTGTCACATTTGAACACACACACATACGCACGCACACCCCCGAGGCCAAAAGCAAAACTCACGTTTCTGAATTTGGCAGTCCAAGAATCCATGTGATCGAACAGCTGTCTGCTTGTTGAAACCCGGGCCCAGACCTGGCCAGGAAAACACAAGAAGTTTTGAAGGATCTCTCTCTCTCATCTATCTATCCATCTATATCCACCCACCCACCCATCTACTCTTTATCTGTCATTGTCTATCCCCTGTCTGTCTGTCTGTCTACCTACCTCTATCTATCATCTATCTATCTCTATCTTCTCTATATCATCTATCATATCTATCTCTTATCTATCATCTATCTAATCTATTTCTACCTATCATATCTATCTCTATCTCTCTTATCTCTATCATCTATGTATCTATCTTATCTATATCATGTATCTCATCTCTATCTCTATTTCTGTCATCTATCTATCTATCTATCTATCCATCCATCCATCCATCCATCCACCCACCCACTCTTTATCTGTCACTGTCTGTCTTATCTATCATATCTATCTCTTATCTATCATCTATCTATTTCTACCTATCATATCTATCTTTATCTCTTATTTCTATCATCTATGTATCTATCTTGTCTATCTATATCATGTATCTCATCTCTATCTCTATTTCTGTCATCTATCTATCTATCTATCTATCTATCTATCTATCTATCTATCTATCTATCTAATCTATCTATCTCTATTCATCCACCCACCCACATCTGTCACTGTCTGTCTTATCTATCATATCTATCTCTATCATCTATCTAGCTATATTTATCATATCTATTTATTTCTATCATCTAGCTATCATCTATCTCTTATCTATCTATCATCTATCTAATCTTTATCTATTTATCATATCTTTCTATCTCTATCATCTATTGATCTACCTATCTTATCTCTATTATCTATGTAGCTATCTATCTTGTCTATCCATCTATCATCTTATTTCTATCTATATCTCTATCATCTATCTCTGTCTGTCTGTCTGTCTGTCTATCTCTATCTTTCTATCTATCTCTGTCTCTCTTTCTCTCTCTCTCTCTCTCATCTCTGTTTCAGTTTGAACAGGGGCACCAGCTGGCTATCTCCAGATGTAGTTAATAGTAGGAACACAGTATACGCTTCCATTAACTCCTCCAGCTGTAATTTACAGGTAGGTCCTCCACTTACAACAGTCCATTTAGTGTCCTTTTGAACTTAAACACCTCTGAAAAAGTGGCTTATGACCATTTTTCATAACGGAGAACCAACAGTTTCCCGTCGAGGTTTTTTTTACCTCTTCGGCAGCTTGCTTGGAACTCAGGTCGGCTTCGTCCTTGTGAGCCGAGGGGGCCTGGGACCTGTAGGCCGGCTGGTACTGGAATTTCCGGAGCATCTGGGCGTAGTCAGCCATGGAGCGACCGTAGCTCCAAAAAGTTGGGCTGTTTGACGGAGAGCTGGAATCTGAACTGCCTGCAACGAGCCAGAGAAACTTGAGCAAGGCAGGTACTGGATCTTACTACAGCTGTTGTGGTTAGCCGGCAGCAGGTGCGGACGGCTGAGGAGAGCGAGGACTCAGGTGAGGGGCCAGGACCATGAGGGAGTGGGCGGCTGCCTTCAGAGATTGTGGGGGCTGGCAGCAGCAATGATGAGGAGGTTCCCGAGGAGCCTGTGCCAAGTGCGTGTGCACGAAAGATTGCTTGGAGGAAAGAACAGTTACAACAGTATGGGGGACTCGGGAGTAAGGCTGCAAGATGATGGCCCCTCCTTCAAGAAAATAAAAGCCAGCTGCGAAATTAACCGTCTTTGCAGAAGGCAAAGACGTTTTGAAACTCGGCCTCGTGGACATTACAGTTAGTATTTAAAACTATTGTGTTGTAAACTATTTCTTATCTATTGTTTTTTGCCAGCCTTGCAAAAACTTGGCCAGGCTCTTTCTTGTCGGAGCTAATTAGTTGGAAGTAGCCTTTTATCTGTGAAAAAACAGAATTCATAGATGAAACATTAAAAGGTTGTGCTGCTGCCTTTGTCTTAGAACCAGGTTTGGGTCAGAACAACAGCCTCCTACGGCTGGGTGGCAAAGTCAGAGAGCCAGATTGAAGAGGTGGTGAAGATGGTGACTAGAAAACTAGGAGACGGTGAGTTCTAGTCCCGCCTTAGGCACAAAATCCGGCTGGGTGACTGGGCTTATCACTCAAA